TGCTTTTGGGTGACCACAGTAGTCCCTTGGTCCATTCTGTCAGATGTGGTTGAAGCAGACGCCGCCAGGGTAACCACTGAGCGGTTCTCTTTGCTCCCACCTCCTTCCCCGGCAGGGAGAGACTGTTCTGTCTCCTGCAAACAGCAGGTTGTAGAAATAGACCATTAGAGCTTAGCGTTTCTTGGGTCATAATGCCCAAGGAGCTTTTGAGCCTACAATTGGGTTTGTAAAGTCAACTCCACAGACACTTTTCTCCACCTCCAGTGAAACAAATACTGCAAGATTCAGTGTTCCTCTCTGGAGTTAACTGAGTAAAATGACACATTTTCCAGGGACTTGCAAGTCCTTGCAAGGACAAAGAAAACATAATCATTTGAAGCGCGCTAAATATTGCAGAAAGGTCCCAAACATAGCATCCTAAGAATGCAGTGTCTCCTGCCCGTCTGTGAGCTATTCGGGGAGGAGTTGCTATGTGTAAGCCCTGGGCCAGTCCCTGTGGGCCCCAGAAGTCCCCAAGCCTGAGACCTACCTGCCCGAAGCTCCCCACTGGGCCTCGGAGGACCTGGATCCGTCAGCTCTGCAGTCAGGCTGCGTGGGCGCTGGGGGCACGTAGGCGAGCTTCGACTGCCTGGGTCTTGGGGAATCCGTTACTAACCCGAACGTGGACACCTTTGCAAACCATCTGGGACTGGCGTCTCTGCCTCTTGGCTTCATCAGCATTGTGCTTTTGGGGAGCACCTCAAGGTCATGTTTGAGGAACATTAATTTTTCAGATCTAGCTGTGGTTCAGGGTTGTCTTTGGCTCCTTTTTTAGAATTTTGTGGGCTCTGTTGAAACTATCTGAGGCTTTTGGAATTCTTGCAGTTGCTTTTGTTGTTGTTATTGTTATTTTTTTTTTTTCATTCTCCTCTATTCCCTTCCATAGTTGCCAGCTTTCACTTCTTGATGCTACTTTGCGGGGTGGTAAGCGGCCTCTCCTCTCCCTTCTAACTTGCTTTACCCGTGGGAAGCAGGACACAAGCCCCTTTAGACCCCAAGGAAGGAAATGCTTCAGCTGGGCTGGGCTCGAACTTGGGCTCCTCCTGCGTCACATTTTATATGCAGCCCACAACAATTTACTTGGTGTCCCCTGGCTCCACAAGACAGGCATTCCCAAGCCCCAGGCCACAAGTGGGAACCTGCCAGTGTACTCCAGTATAATGGCATAACACATTGTACCTATTTTCTAATTGATGAACGTTTATAATTTCTCTGTTTTGTAAGTAATGGCTGCTATAAGCATTTTTGTTTATTCATGGGTCTCTCTAGAGTCTGCAATAGCTGAAAATGAAGTTACTGGGCTATAGGCTATGTGCCCCTCAAACCTTACTAGATAGGACTTAGTTTGTCTCCATGATGGTTCCTGCGGGTGGAGTCCTGCTCATAGTCCATAACTCCTGCCTCCATGTCCTTGCCTACAACCTTTATCTAAGACCTTAGATGTGGTCAGCCTGATGCACGGCAAGTGCCCATCCTTACCAGTGATGGTACGCATTTTCCTTCACATTTTTATTGATCACTTGCTCTTGTTCTTATATGAATTGCCTGATTGTGTCCTTTACTCATTTTTCTATTGAGTTGTCTTTTGCATTGCAGTTATAAGAGTTCTTTGTATGTACCGACTCTGAGACCATTCAGTTATAGGCATTAGAACCAGTCCATGACTTGGGTTTGAAATATACATGTAAAAATATAGACACATATAGTATGTATGGATGCATATGTAAATGTCCATGCAAATGAGGTTCTTTTCTTTGGCCAACTCTGAGTTTGAAGGGCCTGACGCTAAAGGGAGTCAGCGGGATGATTGAGTACCACGTCCCACCAGTGTGTTTACATAAGCTTCCCACCACCCGTCGTGGAGCAATTAGAGTGTCTTTCCAGGGCTGCTGTCCTTTTGAGTGAGCTGATTGTAACTGAGTCTTCGGCTCTGTAGATGTGACCCACAGAGTCCCAGGGAAGCTGCGGCGACATGCTAATGGGCAGATGGGTTTGCAGGGCTGCCTTGGACAGAAACCAAATGTGATCTGTGGTTTTGGGTTTCCCCCTTTTGGTTTTGGCTGAAGTCAGACTTTGGTTTGAGCTTGATCAAGTTGAGCCGTTCTCTGGCCCACAGTGATTTAAGTAATTAAATCTTCCATTTTCAGCACAGACTACTGTTGTTTGACTTTACACCGCTCCATTATCCTCTAAACTGAGAGGTCTGGCTTCCTTCATCCCTCCAGGTCTCTAACTTTTCATATTGAACTTTCTAGATTAGATAGTTGTTTTTAAAATTCTGTAGTCATTCTCTTAAAGAGGAGCTCTTTCTCTCTGAGCCTCTAATCTTGTCCTTCCTCTAGTTACCAATACTGCTAGCCTCTCTTACCAAATACACACAAGGTAAGATCAAAAAATACAGTGAGCGTGGTGTGTGCCTTAATGAAAACATTTATTATAATAAAACTAACCCCCCTCAAACACTCTGTCCTGCTTCAGATAAACTTACCCCATCATTCTTGCTACTTTCTGAAGCAGTTCTGAAAATCCTCTTGTGTCTTAGGTAGTACAAGTTGTAATCAGAAATATACCTTGTACCTACTGGCTGCCGCCCAGGACCATCCAGTGGAAAAGGAGGCTTATATGAAAACCTTTTGTAGGGCTGGGGAGATAGCTCAGCAGTATAAGTGCCTGCCTGGCAAGTACAGCATGCTGAGTTCGATCCCCGGTATTAAAAACAAAAACCTTTTGTGTCTTCATCCACCTTCTTCACCAAATCTGGTACTGTGCACCCCATAGCTCTTCCTTGAGCCACGAAGGCCATGAACAGTAAATGTTTTGAATCAATTCAGGGACTGAAGGCAGCCGCAGTGGTGCAACCAAAGGCCCTCATGAAAGAGGACTCCAGAACTGCTTCAGAAGGTGGCAAAAACAACAGAATCCGTGTGCTCAAAGTAAGGGGAACATTTTGAGTAGGACTAATAGCAATATGTCTTTTATACAATTTTAAAAATTTAATTGTTAACTGTATTTTTTGTTACATCTCCATTTTGGCCTTAAGAGGTTTACCAGGTCCTTAGAGTGGGTCTCTGAGCATCTCAGCAGTGGTTCAGTGAGGCCTAGAAAGTAGGTAGATTACAGCTGCCACCTTACAGTGACAGTCACCGGGAGACACTGGAGCTGACTTGGCCCTGCCTGAACTCCATAGTTTTCCTCAGAGCTGGGCCTGACATCTGCTCTGTGCTGGTCTTGTAAAGGAAGATGCCCCGCCTCCTGCACTTTGTCAGTTGCCCAGGCAACAGTTCCGGTTACAGTTCCTGTTTCTTTTGTTTCTTAGAAAGAGCTGGTCACTGTGATGTACATTATAAGAACCAATCCCCGATGGACAAGCCATCCTGCCTTTGTACTTCCTGTTTGCTTATCCCAAATAAACCCCAGACCACCAGGGATCAGGGCCTGATATTCTGGGAACGATCCCAGTCAGTGCTGCTGACACAGGTGAATCTGCCCCCCAATCCTGGGGTCCTTGCGGTGTTTCTGCCCTTGCAGTCTCTTCATGCTACACATCCCCGCTCACTTGGTGCCGAAATGAATGTCATAAGGAGCAGGATCCGTGTCTGGGCTCGCCACCGGCAAGGCCGTAAGGGCCAGTGCTTAGCCTGGCAGGTGCCATGGCTGGCTCCATGGTCTGCATTTGCCCTCTTCATGCTTTTAATAATTTTGAGCAGCAGACCTCACATTTTCAGTTTGGCCCCATATCTTGCAAATTATGGAGCTGGTCCTGCCCAAAGATAAAGACAATCAAGGCTCAGAGAGATGAAATAATGTGACCAAGATGGCTCAGTGAATAAATAGCAGAGCAGAGATTAGAGTGATTTCTACTTGGCTGCTTCATTGATTGAAAACAGAGCCCTGGAATGAGCCTTGTCTGCCTTGTACTTCGAGGAACGAGGAAGGGAGGTGAGCTGTGCTGTGGAGATGCTATTTGTCTGCAGATCTGCCTGTGTGTTAAAGTAGTTTCGTGTTGACCTCACTCTGGCCAGCTGCCACCCTTGTCTTTAAGTGCAGACCTAGATCTGTTTTTTCTTTTAAAGTCCCCGAAAGACCAAAGAAGGAGGAGTTCTACAGAGCCTTGTGGAGGAAGTGCTCAGTAAATAATTGGTGAACACTGGGTTCCTGGGACTTTTTGATAGTTGAGAAGGAATTGAGACCACTCAGTTGACATCAGTTAAGTCATAAAGAAGAATTGGAAGCTGGGTACAGTGGCACACATCCATAATCCTAGCTATTTGAGAGTCTAAGGCAGGAGGTTCACAAGTTCAAGATCAGCCTAGGCAACTTAGCAATTTAGCAAGATCCTGTTTCAAAAAATAAAAAGGGACAGAGGTGCAGCTCAGTGGTAGAGGACTCAATTGGTGTGTACAGAGCCCTGGGTTCGATCTTTAGTACTGTGAAAAGAAACTTTTGAAAAAGAATAATTGAAGAAATAGCAAGCTGGTCTATAGGCAGGGAAACCCAAGGATCCTACATAGCATTCAGGCTTGACCTTCTGATCCCTTCCTGGGCAGCAGAGGCTCATGCTCTGCTAAGGTCTACTTCCAGTATTGCTTTGTGTCTCTGTGTGTCTCCTGCACCCTCCAGCAAAAGAGTGCCTAAGATTCGGATTCTGCCCCAGACTCACTGGAGGCTACAGACCAGACCCAGGAGTGACTGTGTGGGGTGAGGCATTCATGGCCGGCCATGCAGTTGGGATTGCAGGTGCTGCCATGGCCATCTGGGAGAAGAGGCGCTGCACAGGAGGCAGAGTCGGCCCTATCCTGTCTTGGTCGTTGGCTGGCTCGCCTCCCAGGACGGGCTCAGGGTGCATCTAAGAGGACGAGATAGTGCTTCCTGAGCAGGACACACACCTGCTGGGAGAGGCTCTGTGCACCGGCTGGGGGTGCATTGCTGCTCTGGTGACCTGCTCTGTTTCCCATTCACAGCTGCAAACCCCCTGCTCTGCTCCACCGCCCGCTACCACTGCAGGAACGGCCTGTGCATCGATAAGAGCTTCCTCTGTGATGGGCAGAATAACTGCCAGGACAACAGTGATGAGGAGGGCTGCGAGAGTTCTCAAGGTAGGAGCCCGGCAAGCTCTAAAATGCACTTGCAACCCTACAGAGAACACGGGGGCCGGAAGACACAACGCCCACAGCCTCTGCGGAGCACAGCAGCTGTGTGCTTCCTGCACTGGACCTTGTAGCCCTTGTTGCATGGTCATAGGCGTATGGTGTCTTTGGTATTCTTCATATATTAAGTGTCAGATGTGTGTTTCCTTTTCAAAATTGCAGCGGGTCCCAGCTGTGTCTCACACTGTCCTGTTGCTCCCCAATGGTTTTTCTAAGACATTGTAGTGTTGGGGGACATCCAAGTCACTTCTCTGTATTAAATTACTTCTTTGGGATAAATTCTGCAGAAGAGGATGCCTGCTCCAGTCCTGGCTACATGTCACCATTCAGCTGTATAAAGACGGAATTACTTTTAAGTGTGCCTTTCTGCTGGCATCATCTGTCCCTGTCATTTTTACCATGCTCAGTGTCACTCTTTTTTTCTTTTGTTTTTGCCAACTTAGTGGTCAGGAGTGATTTCTGTCTCTCTGGGTATGAGCAGAATTAACGTTTCCCCCTTATGTTTGTTTCCTGCCTGTGTCCTCTTGTATGGATTGCCTGCACCTCTCAAGCTCTTAATCTCAGCTCTGCTTTACGGAAGCCAGGGGATGGGAGGGTGGGCTATGTTAGGGAGCAGGGGGAGGACACGTGGGTTGGAGTCGTCCCCAGTAAGTCTGACTTGGTACCTTTCTTTGTTCACTATTCTGGAATAAGTACGAAAGTTTTCAAATGGGTGCCTATTTTAAGGCATCCTAAAGAGTGTGTATTTTTAATGTTATACACTGGTATTATAGGTATGTAATCTGTACTTCTTTCCTTTAATAATCATCTATGACTGTGACTCAGCAATATCTTTGTTGGTCATTTGTCATTTGTTTTGACTGTTAGTATTCTGCTCTGTGCCCATGCCATGGTTTGTGGGTTTGATAAAGCTATAAACACAGGAAATGATGGTTAGCTGGTTACTTATATGTTGGGAGGCAGGATGCATGGGACAGGTCCTGTGGAGGTAAGTGTACATTATTTTCAAGGTCCAGGCTTCTGTTTAACTTGGTGTTTGTTATGTTATTAAAAGTGAATGAGGTCTGGCGAGATAGCTCAGCGGTCTAAAGCACCTGCTTAGGCAAGTGCTCAGGGACCATGGTTCAACCCCAGCCCCACATACCATGCCAGCCCCGCCCCAGGGTGGGCTGAGCTAGCCACAAAAAAAAAAGTGAAGGAATGCGCCACATGTGGTGGTGCACATCTGTAATCCAGCATTCCCAAATATCCCAGCATTCTCAAATGCCAAGGCAGGAGTATTACACACACAAGCCCAGAGTGACTTAGGAAGATCCTGTCGCCAGGGAAATGGGATGTTGTGCAGTATGAAAACACTGGGTTCCATTATCTGTACAAAAAGAAAAGAATGAATCAACAAACGGGCCTGCAGGTACTGGTGAGAGCTGGCCACGAAGCGAGTGCTAGGATCGATCCTTATCTATGTGTTGGAGGACTACAGAAAAGGCAGCATGTGTAGGGGAGTAGACTGCCCAAGTTCATGTAGCAGACAGCTAAGGGAGGTGAGTCTTGGTAGAAGCGAAGTTTCAGATTGTCCTTGCTGAACCATGTCCTTCCTGGGTCTTCTCTTGACCAGTGGTTCTCACAGTGCGATCTTCACCCAGCAAGAGCAGCAGTACTCAGGAACTTTTTGGAGATACAACTGCTAGAGGCCCAGGCCAGACCTACTGGGTCAACCACAGGGCTGGGCCCAACCTTCTATGTTTTATTTAACAAACACCAGGGGATTCTGCTACACGTTGAGGTCTGAGAGCCGCTGTTTTACATTGACCTCAAGAGCCTTTTAATCTTGCCACTTGCCCAGGAATTTCCAGACTTCTGAGTATTGCAAACCGTCACACAGATTTTTTATAAACTAGAACATATGCCAAAGCATAGCCAGAGATAAATACTAAACTGCAGGGATTGAGGCCATTTTTATATAAATATTATATCTTACGTAGTTTCTGACGTGTTGATGTATGTGTGTTGCCGTCACTTATGGTGTTCATTATGGTATCTCCAGGTACCCAGAGATATTTAGTGAAAGGGCTGGCAGATCTCAGGCCTGATGGCTTGGGCAGTGCCCTCTTCTGAGCCTGTTATGTGAGAGTTTTGCTGAGGTATGTTATTGCTTGCCCTTCAGGGTACTTGCTTATAGGCTGGTTGGAGTTTGTGTTTCTAAATTCTGCCTCTTCTTATTCCACTATGAAAATATAAAGTTCATATAAGAAGTTGGATGCATACATATGGAGCTCAGCAGGCGTTAAGTTGGAGCAGACCTCTTTAGAATTGCAGCTTTGTGCCTTCCATACCCACGTGCTGTCCCCACTGACCATATGATGTAGGCTCGTGCGCTTCCGCCTCCATTTCTGTCTTGCTGGTCCCCTGCTGTCGCCAGTGGAGGCCAGCGGGCGAGTCGTCTGAAGTATGGCTGGATGCTGTATTAGTCACTTTTTTGTCTCCGAGACAGTGTACTGATGTGTAGAATTTGAAGGAGGAAAGTTTTGTTTGGCTCATGATTTCAGAGGGTTCGTTTGCCGGTCAGCTGACTCCTAGGCAAAGAGAGGATGATGGAAGAGCATGGTGAAAGAATGATGTTCCTCTTCTGGCAGCCGGGAAGCAGGGAGAGCAGAAAAGCAGAAGACAAGAATGTGGCCTTCCGGTCATGTCCCTGTGCCCGCAGGCCCCACTTCCCAGCTGCACAGTTGCTGGACTTGATCTGCTGGTGAGCATAGAGCCCGATGAGCGAATCCCCTTTCAGGAGCCATGTCTCTGAGCACATGAGACTTTGGAGGGTCGCTGTAGATCTAAGCCATAACAGATGCTCTTTTTGTATAAATATCGCCCTCAACTTGGGCATCTGATGCCCTGGCCTGGCACCCCTAGAGATTGGCTGAGCCCTTGGTGCTGGGGCTCAAGGATGGAGTGTGAAAGCTGGTACTTCCTCCCTCTTTGTGCTCAAGGTTCCCTGTAGTTCAAAAGAATGGTGTGTGGGCCAGCATCCTGCCTCCCAAGGGATGCTAGTAGCGGAGCTCTTCTCAAGAAGGGTTTTGTCAACTGGCTCCGGTGTCTTTATCTCACTTGCTGTGTCCTAGTGATAAAGCTTTAGGAGGATTTGGAAGGGTGGCTGTGAGGTTTGGCACATCCCCAGAAGCTAACAGCTTTGTCCTTTTAGCTGTGTGTGTGTGTGTGTGTGTGTGTGTGTGTGTGTGTGTGTGTACATGAGTACATACTGTCCTCAAGCTGGGTACTTTGTCAGTGGGTAGGAAACAGGACAGTGGTAGGGTGCCTTCCATTCGCTCGGCCCTGTGGTGCATGTTGGAGACTTGGCCCCTTGTTGTATTGCGTTCTTTCTCCAGCTCAAAATTCACATTCTCATTCCTAGTTTGCCACACTCTCCTTCACCCCATTGCCTGACAGAGTGGCCAGAGGACATGGCCCTGCCCTGTGAACTCCGGACTTGCTTTACCCAGTGGAATATGGCCAGGCAGAATGAGATCAGTGGATAAAATGTGCTTGTACCCAGGGGCCTGGTCACTTGCATGTCAGTTATCTGTCATGAAGTCACCCTGAGGAACCACTAATCCCAGCAAAATGTGGTGGCATATGAACAGCCGGGAACCTATTGCATGGTGCCAGGTCAGCCCGTAGCAAGGTCAACAGGGTGATTGCAATGTTCAAACCAAGAGAAAGCAAGATAATTTTGCTGACATCTCAGGGTGTATTTGTTGTACAGCCTAACTGACTGATATTTTATCCCCAGGAGTGTGATTATGTTTACTTAATATTTACTAATTGCTACTATTTGCAGGCACTATTTCCAAGGGACACGAGCATATCAAATTCTCCAAATTTTGTTAGATCTTTAGATGCTACTGAGGATTTTGTAAATAGATTTGTTTCAGGTTGACGTGTTTTCTAGCTGTGACCTTACTACTTCAAATGGATGTCATTTGAATAAATTGAGTATGGCAAAAGATCCATAAAATGATTTTTTAAGAGTTAAAAGAAAAAGTTGCTGAGTATAAGATCCAGTGGTTGTTTTTTTTTAATGTTTCATTGAGAAAGAAAAAATTCTGACCATGAAGTTAGAACGCACTATTGATTCTCAGATGCATCTTAATTTCAGATGTTAAAATGTGGCAGAATGGGCATCATAGAACCGGAGAGTGATGGTAGGAAACAGGACAGGTGCCGTCCCTGGGCTGAGGGAACTTGAGCTCCGTGGGAATAGACAAGCGTTAGTACTTGGGTCATTGGGTGGGCAGTATGTCACAAAGCAGAGGCAGGATGCTCTGGAAGGGGGCAGCAGGGCATCTGCAGGGTGTCAAGGTCTTCTTGACAACGTAATGCTGCACTTGGATCTGGAAGGATGGGGAGGACTTAGCAGGACAAGTGAGAGGACCAAGGGGAGCAGGACCTAGGAGATGGCAGGTGAGCAGCTTGGGAATGAGAAGTGGCAGGTACGCTGGGGGAGCAACAGCCACACACAGGGAGTCCAGAACTGGAGGAAGGCAAGCAGTGAAACCAAGTTTTACCTAGAAAAGCTGCTGCAGCCGGACAGAAGAGACCTTAGGGTGGTCACCTCTTCTCAGATTCTGTTGGTTTCAGAACCTCCCAGGACTACAAAAATTCCCAGGTGTTCAAGTCTATTGGATAAGACAGTGCAGTGCCACAACACAGCGCAGACTCTCAGTGATCCTCCTGTGTCAGCCTCCCCAAGGCTGGGATTACAGGTGTGCACCACCATGTCTGCTTTTTGTAGCTGGCATGGTGTTCCCACGGTTCCAGGGCCAGCATGACATACGGTACTGGGGATTGATTCTGGGTCCCTGTGCTTGCCAAGCAGGTGCTTAGACCGCTGAGCTATCTCCCCAGGCCTGGAAGATTTTTAATCTGCATTTTATGGAATCCACAGCTACAGAAGC